CATACAATTGCCTCTTCGACTATGAAGCAGTGTGCGTTCGTCGCATGCCGGGAGAGGTTATTGAAGACGCCGAATCTTTTTCCTTTATCCTTATTATCAAACCTTTCCCGTTAGGTCTCTATAACAGAGTTCTTATGATTGCCTCTCACTGATTCTTTCGTTGCTGAGGACGCTATTCGAATAATTCGAATAGGAATAGATAAGTGTTATAGTGGGACTGGCAAATTTTGTCCCTTTTCACCATCATAACGTGCTTCTGACATAAGAAGAATTTCCTTTCAATTTTTGCTTTCCTTCAAAGTGCGCTCAATTGCTACAAATAGCTTTTACCTCTGCAATTTAGATTATCATTTTAGGTCTACTATGCGATTTACTATGGTCCGATCCCGATAAGGATGTAACTGGATGGGGTGAAAACGATCGTGGCGTCTCATTCACATTCGGTCCAGATGTTGTGGCGAAGTTTTTGAACCGACATGATCTCGATTTGATATGTCGAGCACATCAGGTATGTTGGACGTTGTAATCTATCAGCATTTTTTGTGCCACTCGTTGAACTTTGCTCTCGTGCTTTTCGTTCCCGCATGCGTTTAGTGATGTTTGAGAAGGCGATTTTTGGTCCTCGCAATGCTTTCATTGCTCTTTGACGCCTCCGCTCATTCGAGTTAACAGCAACGCGACCCTCGAACTAACATCCTCTACTAGAGGGCGTTAACACTTCTGTTCTTTTGGCAGAGACTGAAAGGGATTTTTATTTGATTTAGCCTCCGTTTGCATTTTCGCGCATTTCTGATATGCTCCATTGGGAAACTCAAAAAATACACTATGATGTCATCTTCCCAATAACGTCGTTTTTTGTTATCAAGCTCGTACATTACTAAATTAAAGTGCAAAACATAGAGTCGTGCAGGCTAGTCAAATTGCACCTTACAAGGTTATAAAACTGTGTGACTTGTACTTATACTTATGAATAATTGAAATAATTTTCAAATTTTATTAAAAATTCGTAGTAGCCTTGTAAAAAATTTTTTCGGGGGCGTTGGGCCCGGGAAAAATTTGAGAAGCATCTCAAAACATTTTTCGGATTGCGTGGCTAACCCGACGCACCTTCATTCGAAAAAACGGAAATCTTGGGACCGCAACTGCAAGAGATCCATTATCAAAACTTCAAAGCTCTGCCATACTTAAGACTACCTGTGCTTGTTTTATCAATATGCTATATTTTTCAGGTTGTTGAAGATGGTTATGAGTTTTTCGCTAAACGGCAACTGGTTACCTTATTCTCCGCGCCAAACTATTGCGGCGAATTCGACAATGCTGGTGGTATGATGAGTGTAGACGAAACATTGATGTGCAGCTTCCAGGTTTGTGCTTTTGAATGGTGATTCTTTTTTGGGGAATATTTTTTTTGTAATTTTTTTGCTTTATATGCATTTCTTAACTATCTCTTTTTGATCATCGTGAGATGTGACAGAGGGATGAAGCGGTGATTTCTCTCAGTTTGTTATTTATCAGTGACTTACGATACCATTTAAACACTGAAAAGAGAAGGATTACATATTCATTCGTCCCATTAACGATCTCTTCACTTTTGAGTGCTACCTTTTTTGAGCGTTTTTTGCTCGCGTTACGTAAGTATGATTGGTCACAGTTTGCATATCATCACTATACCATCACACTTTTCATGTCATCAGAGCCTTACTCTGCCATGACAGGCAAAGGCTGCAAATTCTAGGCAAAAAAGCTACACGTGTTATGGAATTTTGCATGTGTCTTGTTTTATCGAAAAAGAGTAAAATGGCTCCTGAAGTTTTCGACGGAATCTGGTAAAAAATTTAAAGATTTTGGGGCTGAAAAAAGTAGAGAAGCGTTCAGAAAACTTGAGCGAGACTTCTCACATCCCTTCAGTCGAAAATTTTGTTGCGACCCCCGCCCCCTCCACTCTTCTCC